GGGACCAGTCCCTGGAGAAAGACATCATGCTTGGTAAGGCAGAGGGTCAGGAAAAAAGAAGAACCCTCAAGGAGACGGACTGACACAGTGGCTGCAACAATGGGCTCAAGCATAACAACCGTTGTGAGGATGGCGCAGGACTGGGCAGTGTTACCTTCTGTTGTACACAGGGTTGCTACGGGCCAGAACTGACTAGATGGCACCGAACGACAACAACCAAGCAGATAAACTCCAAAACTGTATATTCAGGTAAGAGAACAGAAAGAGCCTCCAGATTCTCCAGTTAATCCTGCTTTGTCATCCATTTACTTCAGGCTGACTCATTCTGGTAAACCCACCAACTCATCCATCTCTCACAGACTCCTCTCACCTTTTCCAATCAAAGCTATTTTCAACATTAGTCTTTCTGACAGTGGAAAATGTAGAGATAACTGTGCCCTGACCTAAAATACAGCCTGAGGAAAGGCTGAGTTACAAACATTCACTCTCAAAAAGAAGGGGGGGGTGGGGAATAGGTAAGCTCATATCTGGGAAAGAAAGTACAATAAACCTCAAAGAAGAGAGGTGAAAAAATAGAGTCAAGCTCTCCAGGGATCTGTCTGGTACTGGAAAAGAAATCTCTCAAAAATTTTAAAAATATCAAAGAAAGGGACAGCAAAAAATAATGAATGAGTCAAAGAAAATAATCATAATCAATGCATTGCTGTTAGCTGCCATGGAGCCGGACTCCAACTCTTGACAACCCCGTGCATAATGAAACAAAATACTGCTGAGTCCTGCGCCATCCTCATAATCTGCTGCAGATAAGACTGTTGTGATCCACAGGCTTTTCGCTGGCTGATTTTTGGAAGTAGATCGCCAGGCATTTCTTCCTAGTCTATCTTAGTCTGGAAACTCCACTGAACCCTGTTCAGATTCATAACAACATGCAAGCCTCCACTGACAGACAGGTGGTGGTTGTCTATGAGGTGCATTACCCAGGAATCAAACCCAGGTCTCCCACACGGAAGGTGAAAATTCTACCACTGAACCACCAATGTCCCCACTGTTGTTGTTAGGTACTGTCAAGTGGATTTCAACTCATAGTGACCCCATGTGACAGCACAGAACTGCCCTATAGGGTTTTCTAGGCTGTGATCTTTATGGGAGCTGATCACCAGGTCTTTCTCCCACAGAGCCACGGGGTGGGTTCAAACACCAACCTTTCAGTTGGCAGCTGAGCGCTTAACCTTTGTGCCACCAAAGCTCCTTATGCCATTAGTCAATTTAAAAGAATTCAATTCACTGGACATCCGTAATTCAGAATAAGGTACCGTTGATGTTTTGTGTCCATTTTGACAAATGGAAAGAAGAATGAAACCCGTTAGGAGGAAGTGTAAATAATACATAGAGCCAGGAGCAACATGTCAATCTTTGGCACCCAGGAAGCCAAAGGGTCCATGCCAGTCTAAATTTTGAAAGTGTAGCAGACCTACTGATTTTAATAGCCTGTAATCTGAGGCCAAAACTTTTGGCATGCTTCCTTGTTCATAGCAATGACACCACCACCAAGTATTTATTGAGCATTTATCATATGCCAGATACTGTTGTGAGCACTGGAAAGGATACGGTGTTGAAAGTGATAGATGAGCCCTGTCCTTATGGGGCTAACGTCTGTCACAACAAGGAATGTTTAATACGGTTGGGCCCGTGAACAAACGATGACTAATTTTCTGGCACCAAGAATTCCACCTTATAAGGCAAAAGTCTCCTTGCTGAATTAGCAATTTTACAAAGTGACCTGAATCTTTTCCATTACGAGAAACATATTTCTAGTGTGAGTTTAATAGGTTTTGGAGGGCTTTCAGAAGGGCAGGATGGCAGATAGAAGACAAATCCCACGAAGTCAGGGAAGGGCTGATGTCCTGACCCTTTGAACCCTGCACTTCATCTGTGGCTTTGGGTAAAGTACTTGGTTCCTGTTACAAATTTATAGGAAGCTCTGCTGACTTTGGAAGCAAAACAATGACGTAAACAAAGTTTGTCTTTGCTATTCTCTGGCAACTCCCCCATTTACTATGCTTTCTTGCATTCCTCTCCCCCTTCCTGTTTTCAAATCTTTTAATTCTTCAATAATCAATATTTTAATTTACTAGACACATATAGTATAACACCAAGTGTAAGTTAGTTTCCCTCACTCCGTTCTCTTATCTTATCCCTAAAAGTTCCTTTCCCTCTTTTTCCATCCCTCTTTGGGCCCTAACTTTCTTTCGACGCTACCATCATTCTCTTTCTTACCACCTCCCTCCCATTCCCCTTCTGTCTATTCTGGGCAGAAAGAATGAAAGATTACTAGCTATAGGGATAGATGAAGCAGCATGAGTAAGACAAGGAGTTGACAGTATGCCATGTGCATGGGTAAGTCCCTGTCATTAAGGATTTGTCCCCTTGGGTTTAATACATTGCCTTCTGTGCATAACAACACTTAAGAGGTGGTGAAAATAAAGTTTTATACATTTTCTTAGTGTCTGAAGATATTCTTTCAAAATCGTTTTGTGTTTTTATATATATTGAAGAATCCACAGGAAAGAGAGAGGGAGAGAGGACTGGCCTTCTGGCTCTCACCAGCTGCCATGTTCAGATGTCTCCTAATTGCCCTCCCGCTGCCTTCCTAGAGCCCCTCGCTTCATTACCCCCAGCCTGGCTCCTTGCACGGATATTAAGAATATGACAGCTGGGAGGGATGGGAAATCCCAGGTTTGGAGTCAGTCTGATTTAGAGTTGAAGCCCAACTTCATGCCTTATTACCCCAATGACCTTAAGCCAGTTTTCTTTAATTCTCTTGTTTTCTCATCTGTACAATGAGGCTAGTAAAACCAGCCCCACCGTCTTGTTATAAGCATTTAATAAGCTAATGCATAAATGTATTAATCACACTGTGTGGCTTATTGTTGTTGTTGTTAGGTGCCTTCAAGTCGGTTCCAACTCATAGCGACCCTATGTAACACTGCCCGGTCTTGCACCATCCTCACAATTGTGATGCTTGAGCCATTGTTGCAGCCACTGTGTCAATCCATCTTGTTGAGGGTCTTCCTCTTTTTCACTGACCCTCTACTTTACCAAGCATGATGTGGCATATGCACAGGTTATCATTTAATAAATAGTATATATGATTTAAAGGAGCCTTGGTGGCACAGTAGTTAAAGTGCTCGGCTGTCAACCAGAAGGTCAGCAGTTTGAAACCACCAGCTGCTCCCCAGGAGAAAGATGTGGCAGTCTGCTTCAGTAAAGATTTACAGCCTGGAAACCCTCTGGGGTAGTTCTACTCTGTCCTACAGGGTCTCTGTGAGTCAGAACTGACTCAACAGTAGTGGGTTTTTGGTTTGGATATATGATTTATATATTCACACATACATGCATAGACATATATATGCCTAATGTGTCCATCTGTTTACCTCTCTGTCCTCAATGCCAGTCTCCCAGAGTTCTGCCCTTGAAGCATTTACATTCTTCCTAATTCATAATTAGCGAACATGTGATTCTCATCACTGAATATGTGCTAATGAGATTGGATAAGAGAAGAGGACAGTGACTACTGCCTGCCAACTTAAATAGCCCTCAGTGGTAAAATATGGCTCTTGGAAACAAAACTGTAGTAAAGATTGCATCGGCCAGAGCAGTGACTCACAGTGTGAATTTTAAGCAGCATTACCAGGGAGCTGACTGTAGCTCTCAGTAATACCGGCTGCCTTTGTCACCAATGTTAACACCTAGGCCAACACTAATTTTAAGAAAATAATAAAACTTAAATGGATATTGTGTCTTTTTTCACTATGAACTAAAGTATGTGCATGGATAGTATTTCATTTGCCCCAGAATGTTCTACAAAACAAATATAATTCCTAGGAAAACAGGATCATGGAGGGGGGATATGCTCATCTAGTGTCTGTGATAGAGCAAGATCCAGAATATTCTCTTCTTAGGCCAATATTTCTAGATCATACCATGTGTGGGAAGTCCTCCTCTGAAAACTCCCATGCAAAAGATGCAAAACTTGGGAATTGGGCCATGACAAGAAAGTCACATCCGTTGCCACACCAAAGAAAAGACTCTCTTAAGTAATGGACTCAGTGCCTGGCTGTGCACATCAGCCACTTAGTCATTCTTCTAGATGCTGTCCATCACTGAGCACATTCCCGAATTTCATGCAACCTAATTTAAACATCTAACTGGCTATTCTGATCGGAATAAACAGTTGATCAAAGCAAAAGCTTGACAACCCTGACACCTAGTGGCTGTGAAGAAACTGGAGCAAATCCAGCATGAGAAAAGGAGTATTTTGCAAACATAGAATTTAATGATCATGAATACTAGGTTTACAAAGTACTAATTTTAAAAAGCAACCCTATAAAAGTCTATTTGGGCTCTGGATTTATCTTGGGGTCTATACAGGGAGGCAAAAAGACTTACATTTGTAAGGTATATTTTCCTTCGACCTTCCACATTTAGCAAATGTTTACTAATTTTCAAAGATCGAACAAGAAAACTAATCTAATGATCAGTTCCATCGTGGCATTTTATCTTGACTCTTTTCCTTCATTTTTTTTTTTTTTATGTACACCCAAATCCTTCTCCTGATCTTTGTGTGATTTTTCTCCTCAAAGTGTCCCCCTGTCAAAAGCAAAAAAGCAATTTGGCCAAGCCATCCTAAAGGTTCCCTTTCTGCCACTGAAGTGTCCTAGTCAAAAGGGGAGGTGGACCTTTCACAAATCAGCAGGAGCTTTCTTTAAGAGAGACATAAGGACACAGGTGGAAAGCCCTGACGCGCACATCTGAAAACAAGGACTGCACTGAACGCTGCAGGAGGCTGTGTGAACACAGCAGGTCAGCACAGCACAACCTGTTTCTGCCCTAACTGTTAGCAGATAAGGCTCCCGAGACCCACCTGAACCTCTGACAGGCAGGGCGGCGGGAAGCCTACAGTGTTCACGTCCTCCACCAAAGGAAGCTCTGACTCCTACCTGCTGACGTTTGGAGGCTAAATAATCGAGGTTTTCCAGTTCCTTTCCAAGCTTCTGGTAGGTCTTCTGGAGGTCAGATTTGTTGGAAACATTCTTAAGAGACTCAAATGTCCTTTTAAACTGCAATTAAAAATGAAAGCAGATTAGGACAACCGCATAGATTTCTCAAATTCCCAGCTAGCTACACATAGAAATAATGGATACAGAGCCTCAGTTTCTCCCCTCGTAATATATAGCTAACAAATGCTAGCTAATTACCTTTCAATGAAATAATTAAGTACGATTATAAAGAATTAGCAACTGCATCCTAAGTACAACCAACATTATTATGTCAGTGAGAAGTGTGGTTAGCCCTCAGGCCAACAAAAGAACATACTCATTTTTTAAAAATACCTTCATGTTTTAGGATACACTGCTGCTTCTAAAGAAAAAAATATAGTGAATGTATACTTTCAGCAAAGGGTTTGGTTTTTTGGGTTTTTTGCAGGGTAAGTGATTGAAAATGTCAAGTAATGTCATTTGCAAGACATTTGCATTTGCTCTCTCTTTATGTCCCATATTTCCCATATTCTTACTGTATGCCATTAGACAGATTTCTACAGATAGAGACTTCACTATCTTAAATACACCAGAACGCCATTATTACTAGGATGCTATAAGACAAGCTAATAAGATTTTATAGAAGATAATTCAGTTTCCAGGGAAATGATTTGACCCTTACTATATCAAGCTCTATGCAATAAGTCATATTATAGTGGTGTTCTACTGAATTAAATCCTTGATTTCATGAAAGCAACATGCTTATCTCAATCCAAGGTGACAGAGGAAAAAGAAATGGGAAGTAATAATGCTAAGCTTCCACAGCAGGGCAGTAACTTAAATTTGATAAATAATGTTTTAGTACCCACTATGCCCTGGCAGCACAGTGGTTAAGAGCTAGGCTGCTACCTAAAAGGTCAGCAGTTCAAATCCACCAGCTGCTCCTTGGAAACCCTATGGGGCAGTTCTACTCTGTCCTATAGGGTCACTATGAGTCGGAATCAATTCAACAACAGCAATGGGTTTGGTTTTTATTTTTTTGGTTATGCACAAGGCAAGGAGTCCTTGAGTGGTAAAAAAACAGTCAAATGCTTGGTTACTAACTGAAAGGTTGATGGTTTGAACCTACTCAGGGTGCCTCAGAAGAAAGGCCTGGAGATCTGCTTCTGAAAGGTGGCAACCATGAAAAGCGTATGGAGCACAGTTCTACTCTTCAACACAAGGGGTCAGAATTGCCTTCACAGCAAATGGTATCCAGAATGAATAAAACATATTCCCTGCCCTAACGGAATTTACAGACTACTGGGGAAACTAGACATGGAACTCACGAACGGGCAGGAGGCTGACATTTACTGAGTGCCAGCTCGGTTCCAGGTACTCTATGCTTCCTGATTTAATCCTCACAAAAATCATGTGGGTTCTTCTCTTCTTATTCTACAGTGAGGAAACTAGGACTCGGAAAGTTTGATTGAACAAGGATTTTGACCCAGGTCTGTCTGACTACAATGTTCATGCTCTTTCTATTAATCTATCATGAACTCGAATTCATGCAAGGGGTTAAAAAAAAAAAAAAAGTTTGAAAAAGAGAGAAAAGTAACATTTGGTAAAAACACACAAAAAAGTAACTAAGAATGAGGGACTCATGCCACATAGAAGACATGAGGGAATCTGCGTTGGGCCCCAAAAGACAGGAAGAATTTTCAGAGCCTTAAATGGAAACCAATTCTACCTATCAGCTTAAACATAGCCACAGTCTGCTCATTTTCCTCCGCTTGTCGCATAGGAACAAGTTCCTTTCAACATAATTTTAGTGACTGTCACTATGAGTCAGAATCAACTCGATGGCAACAAGTTGGGTTTGGTTTTTATATTATTTATCATGCTGCATGTTCATTCCTGTGGTGTGCCCATTATTCGGTCCCTTCTTACTGTGTCCAAAAAAAAAACAGTGGTTAAGAGCTCGGCTGCTAACCAAAGATCGGCAGTTCAAATTCACGAGCTGCTCCTTGGAAACCCTATGGGGCAGTTAGTTCTACTCTGTCCTATACAGTCGCTATGAGTTGGAGGCAACTCGACAGCAAAGGGTTTGGTTTTTTGCTTCAAGGTTCTCAACAATTTAAGTAATTATCTCTATTCATTAATACAAGCCATTTTACCAATCAATCCCTTAAATTCTAAAGTATTCTTTATCCCCTACACTTTTTCTTCACTAAAAAATAGTAGCTCTAGGTCTTAAATATTTCTTCTTCGCGTTTATTTTTGTGAACTTTACATAGCTCCACATGGGAGCTTTAGGTAAAACATATCTGTAAAGCTTCAAAATAAGAAACACAAAAACTGTTACTTCCAAGTTTATCTACGGCCAAAAAAGAAAGGCAGAAAATGCAATAAAGACACATCACCACGAGATGTTCCACTAAAGGTCAGAGTTTGCATAATGTGGATGTTTTAGCTTGAACTTTCATTATCAGCACTTATAGCCTCTATTTATTCATAGTAAAGATCTCAAAGTACTGTAGAAGTCTGATTATTTCATTCAAGTGGATTTTTTTCACTTACAACAACCAATAACTGCCACAGAGAGGTCATAAGCAATCTGTAGTCTAACTTTGTTCTTGTTGTTATTAGCTGCTGTCAAGTATGCGAGCCTCCACTGATAGACGGTGGCTGGTGGCTGCGCATGACATGCACTGGTCTGGAATCAAATCTGGGTCTCCCTCATAGTAGGCAAGACTTCTATCACTGAACTACCACTAAACCACCACTGCTACCCACCCACTAAACACACACATACACAGTTAAGGGCATTGGGGAGTAAAAGCAGTAACTTTACTTTGCAGATGAAGCTGAAGTACAGAAGACAAAAATAAGACAATGGTTAAACAGAGGCCCAGATTTTACTTAAGGAAATTTGATGTAGACTTGGTTTGAGAATTTTTCTTTCCAGTTGGTCACCGCTTTTTGTCATTAAAATGAGTCTCTTGCGATTTTCTACATTAGTTCAGTGCATTGCAATTTCATCATATTTATTTCTCAAAATAAATGATCTTTTTAGCTGGCGATAAGATGGGAAAGAAAGCAATCAAATAAAGAGATTTTAATATTTTTGGATTTTACCTACTTAAAGTTTTGAGGGAGAATTTTAAATAAGACAAGAACCCTGAAATACTTTGTTGAATTTGAGTTGATCTTGCATTAATTTTTTTAACTTATTATGAACTGAATCAAACTCCTCCCTTCCCCCACAAAAAAAAGAAAAAGAAAAAAAACTTCACCAATAAATCAATCTGAACCAAAAGCAAACCTAGATATTTTCCAAAAATGATGAAACTGAAAAAATGGCCTCTGAACTAAGAAACAAATCCATATTCTGTCCTAATTGACTGCCTTATTGTATATCACAAGGCAGACAAGGCAGAAATGAGAAGATACAACCAATACCCCTAAGCCCAACCCTCACCATAAAAGTAACCATTGTGAACATCTTCATAGCGTTTTTTTCTCATCCAATTCCTTCTGTTGTGATTGTCATTAGCTGCCATTGAATTGGCCCCCAACTCACGGTGACCCAAGCCCAAAGAAATGGAACGCTGCTCATTCCTGTGCTATCTCCATGATCCGTTGCAGATCAGAATGTTGTGATCTTTAGGAAAGAATAATAATAATACCAGCCCACCAAACAAGACAACAAAATCACTCACCTCCCATTAAAATAACTGAAAATCTGTTTTTCAGGAAAGAGAAGTATAAATAAGGCAGCAGGGAAAATGTCTGGTTTGACTCAGCTTTTGCTCTTCCCAAATACTTTTTTTTTCTCCTCCTCTTTCCTGACCACATATTTTCAAATAAATCTAAGCCAATGTTCTATACAAATTACACATGATGAAAACTGTAGATTCATAGCATAATTTGAACAGGAGAACAAGAAGGAATTGGCAGACTCAGCAGGAAAGGATGCAGCAGGGCTCTGGCCAGCAAAGCATCTCTGCCCCTCACTGCCTGTGCCCAGCTTCCTTTTGTAGTCAGATCGAAAGGTTCAAACAACTCCACAGCTCAAGCAGCTTACTCACCCCCATAATGAAAAAATATCAAGTAGCATGGCTCCAGAAGAGCCAGCTCAACAGTTGTCATCTTTTCTTATTTTATATTTAGTGCATTTGTGGTGCTGAGTGCCACTTGTCACACAAAAAGAATCCCGGACTCACAGTGTTTTGTGTACAAAATGTATCCAGTAAGTACCTGATGGAAAGCACTGGATCACTAAGTGTGATTTTAAACCAAAACCAAAACTCACTGCCATCAAGTCGATTCCGACTCATAGCGACCCTATACGACAGAGTAGAACTGCCCCATAGGGTTTCCCAGGCTGTAATCTTTACTGAAGCAGACTCCCACGTCTTTCTCCCGGCGAGTGGCTGGTGGGTTCAAACTGCCAACCTTTCGGTCAGCAGCTGAGCACTTAACCACTGCACCACCAGGCCTCCTGAAGTGTGATCTTAGTGTCCCTAAAATGCAAGTTTGAAACAATACCAAAAGATTCTAGAGACAAAAGCTGAAAGAACGAGCAGTCAAAAGAACAATGCATCAATGCTCTATAAATATTAATGTTTACAGTAAAAAGAAATTGTTTTAAGCATAAGAAATGGCTAATCTAACTTAAATATGGCGACCACAGAGCAACAGAAAATTAAGCATTATGGAGGAAAAAAAATATTTCATTTCTCTAAACTTAATCCATTGACTTTCACACATATTTTCCAAATGAACTTACAAGATGATAATACCACTCATTAAAAGGAAGTTTACCGCTGAAGCAGAAAATTAAAATATACACACATATCTCAAATGGTTTTTCTGCTGTAAGGAATGATTACAGAAGTTAAGAACATAGGACAAAATTGGGTTCAAGATCTAAAACAAATAGTCCTATATAGTTGAAAGCACACCGATCTTGAAGTCTGGATTCAAGTCCTTGCTATGTCATTTGTTAACTGCATAACTTTAGACAAGTCACCACTATTCCAATCCTCAATTCTGTTATCTACAAAATGCAAAACATTGTCCTTGTCTACTTACTTTAT